CCCCGACCCGGAAAACTGCGCGATTCCCTTCCCCATCACATGCTGCCCCTCTGCACACACACACACAGACATGGGCACCCACACATGCACACACATCACCCTGGGCTGATCAATCCAGGGCCCAGCAGGGATTAGCTGTCTGCAGGGGCCTGTAATGGACACTGCAGGGAGAAGGGCCGGGAGGAGGGCCAGGGGAAGGAGGCCTCTGGGCCATGCTGCGGCTCTATCCACTGAGACTTGGTCTGTGACTGCCTGTTGTCCAAGGCCCTCCTCTCCACAACAGGCGTGGTAAGGGGACCATTGTTATCCCCATCTCACACCAAAGAAACCACACTCAGGAGGGTCCTGAAACTTGCCCAAGGTCCCGGCTGCTCGGAGGAGCCAGGAGCCCTCCGCCACTGCTGCCTGCCTACCCGGCCCATGCCTGGGCTCTGTCCCTGACATACCTACCCCAAGACGCAGCGGAGAAGGACACAGGGATTCTAGAGCCTCAGGGGAAAAGAACAGGCAAGGCCAGGCTAAGGCAGGCAGGGGGAACAGAAGCACAATTTGTGTGGGGCGAGCTGGGCGGAGGGGCAAGAGCCTGGGCGATGCCAGAGAGGGAAGGTGAGAAGGGGACCCAGAGGGGTCATCTGAGAAGAAGGAGGTGAAGAATTGAGGTCTCAGTCTCTCTGGGAAGCCATGGGATTCACAGATCCTACCGGCGTTCAAGATTCAATCAAACCCAGCCCAAATTAACCCCCCAGCCACCTCCTGACACACCCCACACCTTCCGTCAGTGACCAGCAGCTCACTCTCCCAGTCCACACACACTCCCTGGCCCACAGCTGTCCCCCTCCACCCCCCAACACCCTCCCCCCAACACCCTCCTCCTCCCCCTGGTCCCCAGGCAGCCCCATCAGCCGACCTGGGCAAAACAGCCTCTGTCTGCTTTGGGCCCTGCATGAACCAACAGCCTTGACAGAGGAGAGCCTCAGCTCAGGCCTGGGCTCAGCCCAACCCGGGCTGTTGGGGCCCAGGAAGTCTGGAGGCCATGCCTGCAACTTCCCCACACCCACGGACCTCAGCCAAATGTCCACTGAGCCCCCAGAAACACCCCACCCAGAGATGACGCCTGGCTGGAGAGCCTTCCCTCCAGCACTGGCAAGATGAACCAACTACATAAATAACTCGGGTTCAGAGAGAAGCTGATCTGAGCCTGGAGAGGTGCAGAAAAGCGTACACAGGATCAGAGGAGAGAGACAAGAGCAGCAAGGCAGAGAGATGGAGGCAAAGCTGAGGTGGGGGTAGACACGGGAGAGGACACTCAGGGCTGAAAGAGAGGCACCCCGACAGGGAGCGCAGGAGGGTCTGAGCGGAAGAGAGTCACTGACTGCAACCTGGGGTGTCAGACCTGGGCGGGCTTCCTGCCCCCCGCCCTTCGGGGTGGCCCGGCCCCTCTCAAGGCCACTCTGAGCATAAGAACTGGTTGCAAAGGCCTGGCTCCTACTAGGAGGTCCATGGCTACAGCGTGGGAGACCTTGACCATCCAGATGAGAATGGCACCATCATGGCCATGTGTGGGTTCCTATAAATAACTGCCACTGCACCTGCCCTCTAGGGAGCATCAGCTGTGATCTGCCAGTGCTGTCCGGTCCACAGACAGCCCTGGGCCCTGCGCCTCCAAGCCGGGCCTCCCCACTCCCAGCAGCTCGGGGCCTGCAATGAGGGGTGGTGGGGTGCGGAGCTTCCTTTCCTGCGCCCTTCATGGGTCCGGCTCCTCCAGCACAGGCTGGCCTCCCTCGCACACGCCCCATGAGGACTTCTGAGCAGTGGAACTCAGGGGCAAGCGGGCCAGATTCTACCCCCACCCCAGCTGTCCCTTCTCCCCAACTGTCCCATCCCCCCCCCCCAACCAAGGACCCAGCCCGCCAATCCCTAATCCTCTCTGTCATCCGACCCAGGCTCCACCCCAACTTGACTCTGCCCAGCCACCTACTGAGGCCCAAAAATGGAGAGAGTCATTTATAGAGGGTCCGACAAGCCAAATGCGCGATGGGAAGATGACCTCAGGGTACTGAGCACCCTGTGGGCGGCTGGGGGCTGGGAGGTCAGCTGTGACAGAGCCACGCTGGGCTGGCAGACCCCAGGGAGCCCTCCCGTGGGGTCTTGCACTCTCATCACACCAGGGCCAGAGGCCACAGGCCCTCACAGCAACAATTAGCTCCCTGCTGGCCAGAGCCACGTGCACCCTGCTCCCCTCAGCACCCCGGGCCCAGCCAGGCCCAGGTGCTCCACACAAGTCCTGGTGGGATTTGCTGAATGAGGGAAGGCTGAGGAGCACTCTGGTCAAATCACCCACCCAGAGCCTGCATCAGGACTCCCACACCAAGCCCCCAAACACCCCTGTTTGTTCCTAACCATCGCTCAGCACTGGCTGGGGCCAGGTGAACGTGGGGTGCATACACGGATCTGCCCAACCCCCAGGGAGCACCTGGACCAGTGGTGGAGGCTGGCAGGTGAAGGAGCAGGCCCCCTGAGGAACTCAATGAACGGGGGGATAGGATAGCTGGTTCCAAAGGCGCCAGCAAGCAAGCTTTCCTCTCCCACAAAGTCCCCCTCTGAATCCTGGCGGATTGGGCTGAGAGGAGATGGGGGAAATCGAGGGCAAGGAAGAGGAGAGATGGGGCCCTTCTTCCTACACGGATGTTGCCGAGGCCCTCCACCCAAGCTCCTGCTCGTCCCTGGTCAGGAAATACCCTGCCATGGCAACGGGACAACTGGAATTGCCCGATTACTCACAGATTTGACCAAGGCAAGGTGGGGGCGGGGTGCCCATGAGACCACTGACCATGCGAGTTAGATGTGGCCCTGAAGGCCACCAGAAGGCGCCGAGGAGGCAGCCAGGCCAGCAGCAGCCAGGCTTCCACACAGACAGCCTCTGAAGGGCAGAGGGGAGAGACTGGTGGGGGGTCGAGGCACCCGGCTTCCTGGACCAACAGGGGAGGTTACGTTTCCAGACTCAGCCAGGATGCCTCTGCTGCTGCTCTGGCTTCTGGAGAGGAGGGTGTCCCCAGCCGGAGCCCACGGGGCAGAGAACAGCCTTAGCACTAAGCAAGTCCAGTCCCACGAGGGCCCAGGCTCGGGCAGGGCCAGCCCTTGGCCAAGGCCAGTATCTACAGCTGAGCAGCTGTCAGCCAAGCGCCCAAGGCCACAGGACAGAGGCTAAAGAGGGAGGGGCGGCAGATCAGGGGGGTTAGTGGAAACACGTCGCCACATACCCAGAGGGAATACGGCCCAGGCCTGCCGCCCCTGAAATCACTGAAAGATGCTGCTGCAGAAACAAGGCAAGTGGGGCAAAGGGGACAGAGCAGAGCAAAGGGAAGGCCCGGACATCACTGGAATGGGGGCAAGGAAATTGTCTCAGCCTCCCTCAGCTTCCCGTCCATCCCCCTCAGCCCCTTAGGTGCAGGAAGCAGGCTTAGACCCAGGCACCTAAACGGATTAGCCAGTCCTGGGGGAAGGGGGGTGGGAAGGAGGGAGCAAGAGCAGCAGTATCTGTCCCCCACCCCCAATCTAGGCAACTGAAGCCGTCCCAGCCTCCAGCCAGCTATCAGTGGGGCTCTAATCCCTCCTCCCGCCCTGGGGAGGGGAGGAGGACAGCTGGGGCAGGCCAGATCTGGAGTCTGGTTGAGGGCCCTTCCCTCTACACGACCCACCACCCCCTTAGCCCGGGACCACGGGAATGAGCTGCAGACTCTGAGGGAAGCGCCGGGGAAGCTCCAGCGGCCGCCGCCGCCGCCCCCCACCCACGACGATCACGTGGCTGCATCCTTAGGGAGCCCGCAGGTCTCAGCTGCGAAAGTCACTGTTTATAAACAGCCACAGCCAGGCGGGGGAAGGCCGGCCGGTCTCCGGATTCCCACCCGGCCGTGCGTCGGGCGGGAGAGGGGACAGACCCGGCCGGGGGGCGCTGAGGGGGGCCACCCTGCTAAGATCACAGATTCTGCGATCTCAGATTTCAGAGTCGGAGTCGGCAGGGGAAGTGGCGTCAGCAACTGGCGCGATCCAATTCAATAAACCAGAGGTGGCTGGGGATGGAAAGCCGGCGCGCGCGGACCCCCGCCCCCAAGCCCAGCATTTCCTGCACCGTCAGGTTGCCACGGGAAGCCCCGGCTCCATCCCCCAGCCTACGGCCAGGGGCTCTCCCGGCCAAGGGGTCGTGTTTCCTGCGGCGGCCTGCCGCGCCTTCTCCGCTCCGGCTGGCTCCCCACCCGGCCGCGGGCTCCCCAAGCCAGAGCCGCCACCCTCACCTCGGCCGCCGGAAATGCGAAGCCCCTTCTCGGGCGAGGGCACTTCCCAAGGGGCCCGCAGCCCTCCCCTCCCGCGGGAGCCGGACCGGAGCTTCCAGGCCGCGGGCACCCCTGGTGAAAGGAAACCTGACCGCTCCCTCAGCCCGCGGGGACAGAAGGTGGAGAGGCGGGTGGAGAGGAGGGCACGGCGGGCGCAGGAAACGCTCGGAGGCCTGGAGCCGACGCGCCGGCACTCGCGAGCAGAGGGACAGCCTCGGGAATCCCTGGGGACAAGGGGCAGACGCCCTCCCGGCTAGCGCCGGCCCCGCCCGCGGGGAGGGCTCGGAGCGCCACCTCGCCTCCGGGCCTCCCGGCCTCGGCCTCCAGGCCGGGTTAGCCGGGACCTCGCGCCCGGAAAGCCGGGGCCGCCTCTCCGCTGCAGAGAAGCAGCGACGATGCAAAGCGGCTGGAGCTACGGGGGAGGGGAAGGGGGAGGGGGTAGAGACAGCTGCGCCCTCTCCTGCCCCCGCCGGGGGGGAAGAGACGGAGGACGCGGGCGCGGGAGGACACCCAGAGCGCTGCGGTGCGCAGCCTGTGGACCCCCGAAGGTCCTCGGCAGCCCCCGTCTGGAGGTGACAGCGCCCGGCCGCGGACGAGGACCAGCCCCCGGCGCGGGGGTAGGGGACAGGTGTCCAGGCGGCGCGGGGGCAGGGGCTCGGGTTCGCTCACCTTCTCCTGCGCCCGAGTGAGCTTCTTCTGCACGTTGCTGGCGATCTTCCCCGCCGTCACCCCCTTGCTGCCCATCTCAGCCATTGCGGCTCAGGCTTGCCCGGCGGCGGGCACGGATCTCCCAGCCCCCAGCCCCGGCCCCGGGCTCCCGCTCCACGCCGCGCACCAGACCGCCGAGCCGACTGGCGGAGGCGGAGCGTGCGCCCGGCGAGCGAGCGAGCGACGCGGGGACCGAGGGAGGGACGGACGGGGGGAGGGAGGGGGAGGGAGAGAGGAGGGGCCGGGCCTCGGGTGGCGGTCAGCGCCCCCCGCCCGCCCCCTCCGGACAAGACACTGCCTTTTAAAGGGCCACCCCGGAGGCCAGAACCGGTCAGCCGGCGGGGAGGGAGCGGCGCCCACCGTCGCCGCGGCTACAGAGGCTGGCCGGACTCCCAGGACACTTCGCTGACACCGCCCCGGGGCGGGAACTACTACGACCGCCCCGGGTCCGACGCCGCCGCGAGCCCTTCTTTCAACCCAGTAGATACCTCCCGCCGCCCGGGAAAAGAGGCCAGATGGAGGAGAAGGGCCCTTTCACAAACCGAAGATAAAGTGGGTGGCGTTTGCTCAGCGCCCCGGGGATCCGGGAGCCTGCGCTGGAGCGCGCTCACCGAGGGTCCCCTTCTTGATGCCCGGCCTCTTCCTGGAATCTAGGTTCACCCTTCTCGACCGGGGTTCTCGGGAGCCACCTGGGAACTGTTCCTCCTGCCTCGTTCCTTGCTAACAAGACGCTGGGTCTTCTAATCTGCGGTTAATCATGATAACAACAGCCTAACGGTACTGAGCGCTGAGGAGTGCCTGGCATTCTATTAAGTGCCCCCTTGGCAACAGCCCTATGAAGTAGGTGCTATTATTTTTCACTTTTTACAAGTGAGACACAGAGGCCTGGAACCAGACCTCTGACTCCACACCCCAGGCTTTCCAAACACTCTATCCTGGGTGCTCCGTCTCCTATTCCGTGCTAGAAGCAGAATGAATGGTCATTATTCAAAGGAAAGGTTAACCGACCAATGATAACTTTGCTAACAGACCAATGACACTTATTCGAAATTAATAAATATGCATTGGGCTTACTGATCCCACCCCTACAGCTCCCCAAAATCATGTCAGGGGCTTGGAAGGATGCCGCAGGGTTTTGTTGCCCGGGAGGCCAGTGCCTGTCCCAGGGATGTAGGCTGAACTCAGTAGAGAGAGGAGTCCTAGAAGCCCTGCTGAGGAGGCCCAGACGCATCCAGCACCCCCAGAGAAGCAGGGCAGGGGGCACTGGCAAGCTTCCAGGAAGAGGAGCAAAGGCTCTTGCAGACCACCCACCAAGCCCACCATACCCAGAGAAACATAAAATGTTCCTCCTGGGCTCCCTGGGAACATGTTCCCAGGAGAGCCTGGCATCTCCTCCAGTTTTTCCTGCAAGGCTGCTCAGCACCTCAGTCCTCCCAGCCGATTCCTATTCCTATTTCGCAGGAAGACAGACTGAGGAACTGCAGCTGCTGAAGGTCAAAGAGATGAGCAGAGATTCAGACCTAGACCCTCCTGTGCTAAAGCCCTCAGCTAGTACATGGGCGTGCTTTCGAGGAAAAGCAGCAAGCACACAGGAGCAGAAAGCATTTTGTCAAAATTATTATTATAAATTCATGCCTGATTCCTGAATTACAAAACCAAAACTGAAGCAGTGCAGTTTCTCAGGCAACTTTCTCCTAAATGCTCACCAGCGTTCACCTCAGAGTCGTTCTCCTCATAATTTTATGCATGGCACTTTTCTAACCATTCTCTAAAGAGCAATTTCTTCCCGCCCTCCTCTGACGAAAGGAGAGAATGTGCAAAAGTCAAATCAGATTACAGTCAGCCCCCAGGGAAAGTGGGAGATTCTGCTTCACTGAACTTGAGTCACTTGACAGAAAAATTGGAAGCAATTTGAATGGTTACCAACAGGATAGGGTCAGCTAGACAGGGCAGCAACCAGAGAAAGCATTAAGGGAATCATTTTAAACAATTATGGAGACTGTGTAGCAACATGAAATAATTCTTAGGTATAATTATGAGTGAAAAGGAGAAGATAGAAAATTGCACATGTACTGCCTTTGCAACCACATAAAAATAAATATAAATGCTCATGATCAAAGACTGGAACAAACCATGGACAAGGAAATAGATGTTTTAAGGTCAAGGTATTACGGCTGATTTTTTCCCCTTGTGTGCTAAGTTGTTTCAGTCATGTCTGACTCTCTGCAACCCCATTGACTGTAGCCCACCAGGCTCCTTTGTCCATGGGGTTTTTCCAGGCAAAATTCCTGGAGCGGGTTGCCCTTCCCTTCTCCAGGGGATCTTCCCAACCCAGGAATCGAACCCCTGACTCTTTTGTATCCTACGTTGGCAGGCAGGTTCTTTACCACTAGCGCCACCTGGGAAGCCTTTTTCCCCTTCACTTCCTAAATATTCTATGATACGCTGTGTTGCCTTCATAACCCACATGTGATTTTTATCTTTAAAGAAGACAATTCTTTGATCTTATCTCTAGTTTGGAAAGACTTTTTAAAGCACAAAACCATTGGAGGGAGTTTTGAAATAAAAAATACTGGTTTGGGGGTATGTAAAAATTCAATTTTTTTAAACCTCAAAAAGTACTATCGACACAGGGCGAAATTTGGAAGGAAATGCTCTGAAGATGTTATTATAAGGCCAAAGGCTAGGAATGTAGGGGATTTTTACTTTCTTTATGGTTTTCTATAGTGTCTGATTTTTTTTGGCAGGACAGTCCATTGTTTTTACTATCAGGAAAAAATATTATTTATATTTTGAAAAGAAAGTTGACATAAAAAATTAAAGTGTAAGTTAGGGGAATATTTTTGAAAATAAAACTCTCACAAGTCATAAGAAAAACACTAAGATTTTCACAAATAAATGGGCGAATGGTAAAAATGGACAGTTCATAAAACTGGAGATTCGAATGATCAATACATAGGTATTAAGAGTTCAGTCTTACCAGAAAAACAAAATTGCTTCCTAAATCAATGAGATACCATTCCTGCCCTCACTTTCATCAAATCAGCAAGTCATTTTTTAAATTATATTATTTAAAATCAGACAGACACATACTGCCTCTGAGAATATAACAGATACAGGATTTCTGGAAAGCAATCTTGCAATATGTATTAAGAATTATCAAAATACTCTTTAATCCTAGAATCCCAAGTATAAGAAATATCTCGAAATTTTAGCAAAGTTTAATCACACAGATGTTCATCCCATTATAATAGTACAAAATTGACAGTATGTTGGCTATTACTATTGTTCTTGTTACTACTATACTAATATACATATTCCCCCACTCCGTCAGTCTCTTCACTTGCATGAGTGCTAAGTTGCTTCAGTCGTATCTGACTCTTTGTGACCCTATGAGCTATAAACCACCAGGTTTTTCTGTCCATGGGATTCTCCAGGCAAGAATACCTGAGCGGATTGCCATGCCCTCCTCCAGGGGATCTTCCCAACCCAGGGATCGAACCAGCATCTCTTACATATCCTGCATTGGCAGGCAGGTTCTTTACCAGTAATGCCACCTGGGAAGCCCCTACATACTGAGCACCAGTCCTGGGCTTAGCTCTGCCAGTGGTGCATGCAGTGAATCCTCTCCCTCAAGAATTCACTATGTGGGGGCCGGACGGGGTCTGGGAGGGCTGGGAGGCTCTTTGAGGGAGTGATGTTGACCACTGGAAGCACTGACAAGAGAACAGGGAGGGAAGCCTGCTGCCCAGCAAAGCCCTCAAATATGGAGGCAAGAATAAATGAACAGACAAGTGTCCGACGTGTTATTGGTCTACCTTTCCTTCTGTTCTTTCAGCATCCAGGTCTCCCAGTCCCTGCACCCCACCAGCTCTCCACAACCCAACCCCAGGCCTCTGCACAAAGTCCTTTAACCAGATGTGATTAAGCTATAGAATAGCCAAACATGAAATGTTTACCAAAACAATAACACTCTTACATTTTTGTGATGGGGAAATGCTATAGTGTGTTGTTAATTGAATAACGCAGGATATTAACTCATACAATGGTATAGTGCCAATGGATATTCAAATGTGGTTGGTATCTCTGGGTGGAGTGGTCAAAGGGTGGGTTTGGTCTTCTATTTTTTCTCTTCTTCCTTTTTTATTTTGCAAATTTTGTTCATGTACTATTTTTGTAATCATCAAAATCATCAGGGATAACTGATAACTCAGTTGGTAAAGAATCTGCCTGCAATGCAGGAGACCCTGGTTCGATTCCTGGGTCAGGAAAATCCCCTGGAGAAGGGATAGGCTACCCACTCCAGTATTCCGGGGCTTCCCTTGTGGCTCAGACAGTGAAGAATCCACCTGCAATGTGGGAGACCTGGGTTCGATCCCTGGGTTGGGAAGATCCCCTGGAGAAGGGAAAGGATAGCCATTCCAGTATTCTGGCCTGGAGAATTCAAGGGTTGCAACAAATTGGACATGACTGAACAACTTTTACAATCATAAAGAAATGCTATTAAAAACACAAATTGAAATGAGAAACGTGTTCCTTGGTTCGGAAACCACAATGTTGTGGAATGTGTTCCATCCCTGCTGGTCTGCATGTCTGAATGGTTATACCTGGGGAAACTATTTTGTGAACCTTGAAGGACTCAGACTGGGGCAAAGTTCAGTCCTCCTGTCCCTTGGAGAAAAAAAGCATCACGAGATATTTTCCTTCTATCCTTCAAAAATCGAGTAAGAGGCTCTGAGCTGGCACTGTGACTGTCGTCATCACCAGCACCGTTCTGTCTTACAAAGCAAGACTTGTTGTTTATACTCATTTGAGTGTCACAGGAATCCTGCGTTCAACAGCAGTAGGACTTTTTGCTGTTCTCTTTCAGGTGGAGACTTGGAGAAGACAGCTTTGCCTGAAGGCACATAGTTGCTAGGTCCTGTGCTGGGATCCTCTGGCACCTGGCCATCTTCAGAATTGGGAACAAAACATCTTCTTACTTCTTCCTGGAACAGCAAGCTGCATCTTTTAGAGAGACAGGGAGCATGCAGAAGAGTCTACAGGCAGAACCAGAAGGGATATGTATTTCCAGAAGCATTATTTCTGGGCAGC